AAAATCTACTCACCTTCACCTCACTTCTCACTAATGAATGTATTGTGATAATACTGATAATTCTATATTTGTTAATATTGTATGAGAAATGGAAGAAGGGATGATGCAAATAATTTTGGGTGAATTTGTGGTAATGGTGGACAACGACACTGCACAAAAAATATTAAATGGTAAGCTCAAGCATTCGGCGTAATTTTTCTGACAATGGAAAACGATCATGAAATAATTCATGCCAAATCATGCTGAACGTTTGTTTAATCCATTTCAGATGATGTATTTGCTCAACAATATCTTCAACAACTGACTGAAATTGAAGATAGTCAAAATTCTGCAGACAACATTCCATCTTCCATTCCAGTGAGTTCATCAAAGGTTCGAAAAAATGAAAAAATATCACATGAGGAACCTGTTAATAAAAACAAAGTTTGGACTACCTCCAGAATTCAGACAGAGACTGATAAAGTGGCCACAATATATTTTTTAGCTCTACGAAAAAAATTTAATCATAAATTTTCTGATAAATGTACAGCCAAAAATTCTCTATGGTTAGAAATAGCACAAAATATGAATGAAGCTGGTTTTTTTGTTGGGGAAGGAGTAGAGGGACGAGAGAAATGCCGCCAAAAATTTGTAAACCTCCAAAGTTCTTACATGAAATATCTGGATAAAAAACGGAGCACAGGAGAAGATACCTCTACCTATTTATATTTTCACCTATTTTGCAAGCATTGTCAAAATGTTTTTTTATAGGTAAAATTGAAAAACCTCCATTTTATGATGAGATTGATGAAATTCTGGGTGAAAAGGACAAGGCAAATCCAGCTTTCTTAATAGACTCATTAAATATAAAAAGAACTTCTTCAAATTCAGTGGCTATTAGTGCCAAAAATAAGGAGAATAACATTCCTTCAACTTCTAAATCTGAATCGTCATTACCTTCATGTTTAGCATCCACCTCTAATCGTGCATCATCCCCAGAAAGTTCAGTATTCAACCCTCAGAGTGATACACCTAAATCTATAGATGTAAATAGATTCAAAAAATGTGTCAAAACAGTGACTCCTAAGAAAAATGAAATTTTGGAGAAATTTTATACTTTAGCAGAGGTATCTGAGCAAAGGCAAAAAACGGAATTTTTGACAATGATGGAATTAATGAGAGAAGAATCACAAAAAAGACATGAGCAAGTAATGACACTTATTTCTTCATTGCATAAAAACAATCAACATAAAAAAAGGAAGAGAGATAGTAGTGAAAGTGACTAATTATAAAATATTTTCTATTAATGTGAAGAATAATAGTCATTTTCAATGTTTCATGACATACTAGTCAATACTTTATTTAGAGAAAAATGTATTGTACTATGTTCTAGTTTTTGTTTTTATTTGTGGGTTGCAATATACCTACTTATTGTTTTTTGAGAGAAGAAGTCCATATTTATTTTTATTTCTGGGTTAAAAACTCACTATTTTTTCATATTACTTGTATTTCAGTTAGGTCAAGTTTTAGACTTGTAAAAGATCATACTATAAAATAAACTGAAGTTATCATATATTGGTAGTATTTTTATTTTAGATGCTATAAAAAATAAAATGCTTTTGTTTTCATAGTTTTTTTTTTCTATTCTACTGCAAGTTCTGGGATATATTGTTTCTCTTTTGTTGAGCTTGGTTATAATTTAATTGATTAATATATATTAATGCCAACTTCATCAGCGTTTTCTTCTACTTCATTTTCTTCCCAATAATCTGCATTAACATAACAAAAATTGTGAAGTATGCAGCAAACAGCAATAATTTTTACTGCTTTGTCAATGCTATTTGTGTTAATATACTTCAGTATCCGCCATCTGCCTTTCAAGAGTCCAAACAAATGTTCTATTACCATCCTGGTCTGGCTGTGCTTGGTGTTGTAACTGGTTTGTTGTAAGTTGATTGGATTTCTGGAATGATTACGAAGTGTAAGGTTTGCAAAAGTAATTCAGCAATTTCATCTTGGATTTTTCTAATGAATCTTATCTCAAATCATACCAAAACTCCATTTACCTATAAGGAGTCATCACCCATTCCAGCAATGGGTATGCCTTATCACCAACTAAATGATATTCATCTCTAAGAAAATATTTTCTTCTCTTATTATTTTCAGTGATATCAACAAAAATCCCGGAATTCCTGAACACCTAGAAAATTCAATGCAAATCGAATACATATTCATTGTAATAATTCTCAAATATAGTATATTATTTTTTAAATTGGCATTACTTGATGGAAATCAATTGTAATTGTAGAATCACAAGAAATCATTGGATTTTCAAGAATTTTCATTCCAAGAACACAATACGTTTTGCTGAAACATGTACTATTTTGTACTCCAGAAGCTAATGTATTAGTGAAACATATGTTGTTTTTGAAATGAAAATTCATGAAAATCATATACTATTATTGAAAAACATCTACCCTGTTGTCATGTGCGGAGCCTGGAAATCCTACAAATAAATTTGTAATTAGTTTATTGGCAGTGCCAATTGCTTGCAGTTTGATGCTATGAGTGGAGTTTTTATCTATGTAACTTTCCTGTTGATTTTCAGGAGCCTTGAAAGATATATTGGTTCCATCAATAGCACCAATGACTCCTGAAACTCAGTGTGTAAAATATATACTTTCCATTTTCAAAAGTGTGTGTAATTACCTGGAAAACCACATCGCTCTTGAAACTGGTTTTTAATAGTTTGTATTTCGTCGGCTGTTGTTGGCCAACATATATAATTTTTTATCAATGTTAATATTCTATTTAGGATTCTTTGTGTACAATTAAACACAGCATAAAGGGATACCCCAAATCTTTCTGAAACTGAGAGATAGGTTTCTCCTTTTCCCAGCCACCATAATGTCATTAACAATTGTAGGTAACCTGGTATTGGAACTCCTCCACCACGGTAGGGCTTTGTAAGAAGAGGGTGATCTATTTTTCCCAGTAAAATATTGAATGTGTCTTGATTCATTCTAAAGGTGTGTTCGGTTTTGAAAACTCGGAGCCGAGCGAGCAGATGCAGATCTAATACCACGTGACCACCGAGACAACGGAGCGATAAATATTTAACGAACACCCGATCTGGAAGTTGACATTTGTGACAGATTTGTCAAAACAAAACAGTTAACCTTAGTTTTTAACAACCTAGTTAGTGTTTGCTGTTTAGTTATTCACATGCAATAATTCATAGTTTTCTATTCGAAAATCAGTGGTATTTTTCGTAAAATGGGAAGTGTTGAAGAAGGCATTATTATGTCGATGAGAATGTGTCGGGAACTATTTTTCGAAGATAGTAGTGATGACGAACAAGAGTCAAAAATTTCACCAAAAGTTGATGACTTTGCAGAAGAGACTGTCCCTCGTTTGACTGATGCGCAATTCAAAGTCCATTTCAGAATCAAACCCGATACTTTTGAAGATCTTCTTCAAAAATTACATCATATCACTGCAGCTAACGAGGCAACAGATAAGAAGGGCCATCCTTCTATTCCTCTTGAAAAACAAACAATGATCACTATATGGTGTCTTTCGAATTTGGAATCATTCAGGTAACAAAATTTGTTCACATGTATAAAAAATAAACATTTTGTTTGGTTTCAGATCAGTAGCAGATAGATTTGGCATAAGTAAAAGTACTTGTTGGGATGTGCTGTACAGAACTTGTCGAAATTTACTGAAATTAAATGCCCACTACAAAATAATTTCATGGCCAAACATTTTACGAGCTCGTCAAATCAGTGACCAATTCGAAGCTATCAATGGATTTCCAGGTTTGTAGAAAATTATATGTTATCATCATGAATGTTATATAATTTTTTCTAGGTATTATTGGAGCAATAGATGGTTGCCATATAAGGATTCTAAAACCAAAACATTATCCAAACTCTTATTGCAACCGAAAAAATTATCATTCTGTATTATTACAGGGTGTGTGTGATAACAGAATGTTATTTTTAGACACATATGCAGGGGAGGCTGGATCCTTACATGATTGGAGACTCTACACCAAATCAGATTTGTATCATAGAATTAATGATGGTGCTGTAAATATACCACAAGATATGCATATGATTGGTGATCTTGCATATAAATTATCACCTAGAATGCTAGTGGGTTTCAAAGATACTGGAGGACTTAATATTCTTCAGAGGAATTTCAATTTGAAACTTTCACAGTGTCGTGTTGTTATAGAACATGCTTATGCATATCTGAAAGGAAGATTTCGTCGTCTTAAATCTTTAGACTCAAAAAGACTGGACCTAATATGTCTTCTGATTATATCAGGTTGTATTCTCCACAATATTTGCATTTTAAAGGGAGATTTACCTGAAGAAATGGTTGACGAAAATGACTTAGATGGACATGCAAATGAGATCCATGAAAATAATCAAGAACCTCCTGAAAATATGGCAGCAATAACAAAGAGGAATTTTATAATGCTTTCCTTAAATGTGAATTGAAAAATAGTTAAATAAATTATCTTATTTTGATTTCGACATTTATTTACTAAGAAACACAATACTCTGATAATATCACACTGGAAAATACCTTTGATCTGGTAGTTAAAGATAAACCAAAAAACTCTTAAAGTTAAGAAAAATATAAAAATCAACTATCAGCATCACTCCTGAAATACAAAAGTAATAACTAAACTATGTAACTAAACTATGTAACGAAAAATATACATATCATTTCACATAACTTATTTGGACATCACAAAAAAATACTAACTGGTTTTTACCATAGAATTTATATATCACTCTGATAAACAAGATACTTACTAGAAACAATGAAAATAACTACAGTAAAAAATGAATACTTGAGATCAAGAACAGAAATAAGGTATTCAGCCTTCAATTAGCAAGTAACACCCTGATTGCAGGGGCACATATTTTTCACTAATCAGCACCCAATTTTACCCTACTTGATCTTTACTTGCTAATTGAAGTCAGCGTTACTCTGTAAATAACTTATTTATTCTTGTATGTTTTCACAAAATCTTCAAAACAGTCTAAAAATCTGTCCTGTCTTTGCATTTTTTCCTTGTGTCGACGTTCACTTGCATTCAAAGCCATTTTCCTTTTCTTCGAGAAGGAAGATTCAAATGGTACACATTTTTCAACAGAAGAAATTTCAGTTTCTGAAGTATTAGATTCATTTTCTTTATTTCCAGAAGTAGAACCTTCCTGACTCTTAGGTCCAGAAACCACCAGTCCTGTATGGCTACTGCAGGTAGCTGGTGCATGGATTTCAGGTTTCTTGAAGAGTATGCCATCCATGGCATCAAAATATTCCCATTTTCTTCTGTTTTTTCCTGAACTGGAATTATGATCTTTCACATCCTTATAGGTCTTTTTCAGTGACTTCCACTTCGTATCACATTGTTGCCATGTCAATTTATGTTCGAATTTCTCCATCATTAATTTGGAAATTTTCATCCAAATATACTTTTTCACAGAGGTTTGAAAATCATTGTCGTATTTATCAACCAAACTTATAAGACTGAGAGTAACTTCACGTGTCCACAATTTTCTGTCGAGTTCAGAATAAGATACTGTGACTGGATCTGGTAATGAACTAGATTCCCTTTCATCTGGCAATTCTTGAACAGTATATGCCGAAACCGCCCTCAATGCTTCGCTTTCATCTAAAAAAAAACATTTGTTCGTAAATATAAAAGAATCGAGGATAAGTAATTCAACTGATAGTTACTTGCAAATGTATGACTGGAATTTATATGATCCACCAAAAATTGTAGATCATCACCCTTGTGCTTACATACATTACAAATGTATGTTAAATTTTCCTCTGCTTCAGACATTTGAGATACAATTATTTACACTATTATTATATTATTTATAAACCTAACCAAATATTCTTTGACAAGGACATTAAGGACAAGTGACAATTAGGAAATCTGCCTGATCCTTCCGTTGATCTCGGAGCTAATGAATTACATCCAATACCGAACACAAAGCAGACGTAACGGAGGAAACCAATCTGAATTATCGAACGCTTGCCGAGCAGAGCGAGCAAATCGAGCGTTCAGATATGTATTAAACGAACACACCTTAAACAGTTGGAAAAAATCGTGTTCTAAATATTTGCCGATCCAATTTTCATCAAAGACTAGTCGGTAGTGTTTCTGGTTTTGAAATAGCATCAGGGGTAATGGGACTAGGAACTGATCACTTTTTTTTTGTGAAGTAACGGCAACAAACATTTATAAAAATTCTGTTCTTCGATAAGGCTTAATAGGATAATATTTTCCTCCATTTGGAAATGTAATATTAGGCAATCCAAACCACGTGACATTTCAGCTGACAAGATGGCGTCTGGTTGGCAAACAAAGATTATACATCACTTGTAATTAAATTGTATTTTGCCCGAATCACCCTATTATTCTGGTAGTTTTATGTGTCAGGTGTTTGAGGGAGTCTCGGAGCTGAATTGATCAGTGCTGCAATATGCTGAGTTCATATTTCCAGAAGTTATTGCAGGAAAACCCAGAGGTTGGTCAGAGGTAAACATGAATATTTATTGTTTTTTCGGCTATTTTTCTCAACTAACCAGTAAATTTTCATTCCTCTGAAACTATCATACAACTATAAATTGTTTGTAGATATCTGACGAAGCTGATGTTGATCAAGGATTTGAAGCCCTCCACATCTGAAACTGCTGACTTTTTTTTTTTTTTTTTTTTTTATCGCTTGGAGCGCACGAAAGGGAATCCCTATAATGTTCAAAGAACATCGTGCGTTCCTAGGGAGGATAGGGACAAGAGGTAGGTATTGGAATTTTTTTTGAACTTTTGGAGATTATATGTTGTTGGGAATACTTCCACAGGCAATGAATTCCACAGCCTAGCCGTTCTATGGATGAAGGAGTCTTGATAAAGTGCTGTTCGACATCTTTCGAGGTTGACAACGAAAGGATGTGCTGACTGGGCTTGTCTTGTTCGTCTGATTGGTATTGCTAGTGGAGGGATGATAGCAGAGATTTCCGAAGAACATTTCCCGTGGAAGTATCGATAGAAAAGTGAAAGGTCGCCGACCTTTCTACGGTGTTCCAATGATGTCAAAGAGTGAGTGAGTGTGGCGTCACCCACCAGGCGAATGGCTCTTCTCTGGATGGAATCTAAGAGCATCAGCGTATGTTTTGGTGCTGAACCCCATATGTGGGAACAGTATTCTAGAACAGGCCGTATCTGCGCTTTGTAGATCATGAGAAGCTGTTGAGGTGTAAAGTAGCTTTTCGCACGGAACAAGAATCCAAGTTTTTGTGAAGCAGCTTTTGCGATGGATCTGACATGATTATCCCATGAAAGAGTGTTGCTGATGGAAATACCGAGCATAGATATGGTGGGCTTGGTGGGGATGGTGGAGCCAGACATTACAATATCGGGCATACTGAGTTCCGCCTTTCTAGAGAAAATGCAGGCTTGAGTTTTGGTAGCGTTGAATTCAACTAGGTTGTTTGTTCCTCAGGCTGTGATTTCAGCAAGATCTTCATTGACAGCATTGACCTGCCTGCGCCGTGACTGATTAGACTACCTCATAATTATAGTCTCCTACTATTTATAGTGACCCACAGTTTCTACCCTCATGAGCAAATGAAAGCATTCAAAACCCTTGTTGTTCACAAGTATTTTTCAGCAACTTTTGTCCAGGAAGTAGACAGGAAGATGAATGATTTTCATGTCATAGATGGAAAGGTAACTTTTTACTTTTATACCAAAATACCTTTCATGATAGGAACATTTTGAATGATGAAATTATGTTATTCATATATTTTTAAATATATTTCCTACCTCGTATGCATGTATATCTTATGCAATTTCTTTTAGGTAAAATATTCACAATTAGATTCTGTGCTAATAAGTAACTTGAGGCTTGGGCAAGTAAATAAGGAACAGTTTCATGTACTGATGTATGTGCTTTATTGTGACCAATGCCACCACTCTCACCATGATTGTGCCCATCATACCAATTGCTCTGAATGGTTTAATACAAAATCCCTACTATATCTTCAATGTCCAGAGAAACGTGTTTTTTTGGGAACAACATTCACAAATTGCTTTGAAGTTTCATGCTGAAGTTATACTACCTGGACTTTTGGGTGGATATCAATTTCACCAGAAGTGAACTATTGGTGTAAGTGTTCAAGTGCTGATGATGGAACCCCTATGACTAGTTGTGACAGTGATAAAGGGAAATTGTATGGTTCTATTTTAAATGATTAGATATCTTAGGTACACCAGAATCAGCATGGTTTTGTGAATTCTGATTCACCAAGTTCTATAAAAAAATATGTACCTATTCATAATAAATATATAATTCAATCATTGTTCATTATTGTTTCAATCAGATCACTGAATAACTATAATGTTCTATGATGATTTTTTCATGACTAATGTAGATCTTTTGTAATATAGTGGAATAATACAATGTATTTTTCATTTAATGAATATTACAATTATATTGATATACTTACTTTATTTGTCTTACATTTATAATTGATAAAAATAAATCACAACAGACTAATTTGTAAAAGTACATAATCTTGTAGATTTTCACCTTGTTTTCACCAATTTTCTCTTCTATTTCTTCATCTCCCAGGACACTTTCTTCATTACAGTAAAATAAATGAAAAATGCTGTAGTAGTAGTATCAGGTAATCAGGTGTTTTCTTGAGAACATACCAGGTCTCTCGGTTCTGATGCTTGATTCATGATTTGAACCTTTTGTCTGCTTTCATTTTTTGATCCACATCAGTCTTGCATTTCGAATGGACAAGAGATTGATGACCCCTATTATATTGCAATGGGACCCAAGCTAGATATTCTCATCTTTCAGGCACTACGTTCTCCTACAATAAGGTAGATGATGAATTTATGTATTAGAAACATGATGTTTTCAAACTATGTAGAACCATCAAAAGTAATGAGTATTTGTTTATTTTATCAAAATGAAAAAAAGATGAGTTTTCCATAGGATGAAACACTAAACTCATCAGTTCTAGAGTAGGTAGGTACATATAAATAATATTGAAATCTTTTTTCTTAGGTACCTGTTCTGAAAATAGTGTCTGCCACATATCCTCTGTTTTATTATGATTGATTCTGTTGCTGATTCTTTCTCTTGATGGCTGCTATCCACATTTCCCTAATTTTTCTTGATAGATTCTTCATGTGTGGGTAATGCTCAGAGTTTTTCACAGTATTACAGTAGGAATGTGACAAAACAGCAAATGGTCCCGATCTGCACTGCCTCCACAATCCACCACAATTCACGTTACTGGCAATTTTTTCTTTGAAATCATACTGAGTTTTCATTATTCACAATAAATCTAGCCGAAACTCGATGAAATGACACTGTAAAAGAGGCTTCCAAAACCCACAAAGTTCTCAAGTAAACAAACTTGTCTTTGGTTTATTTGCCAACCAGACGTCATTTTGAAATTATTTGACAGGTCGTTGGATTGCCTAATTCGAATTTTTTGAGGTTATTTGAATGACAACTGACGAACAAACGTGACGTATTGAAACGTTGTATTTTTTCGGTTCATAGAATAGTGACGTCAAGGTAGAAACTGTTTTAAAACAGTCTTTGAAACTGTTTCGTCAAGAAAAAATGCCTAAGATCTGGGTGAATTTTCAACCTTGCTTATTATCTTTGCAGGACTCCAGGTTTTTCCCTCTTGAATAACTACATTCTCATCATCCTCAAATTCTTTTCTTGGAGCTGTTGTGTTATCATAATATTCTTTGTATAGCTTTCTTCTATCTTCCAACTTATTTTTTTCAAGTCCATAATCAATCTCCTCTGTCGTCAAGAGATTTGTCAAAATTGGTAATTTTGTTCTCAGCCTTCTAGACTGAAGTAACTGAGATGGAGACTTATCAGTACCTGACACAGGTGTGTTTCTGTATTCCAGTAACGCCACTAATATGTCATTACATTTCCTGAGTATATTCTTTGACGTTTGTACTGCTCTTTCTGCAGCTCCATTTGAGCAAGGGTATTTTGGACTTGATGTACAGAATTTAAAATTCCAGGCTCTAGCAAACTCTCTGCATGCAAAAGAATTATAAGGCATGTTATCTGCAATCACTTCAGCTGAAATTCCAAACCTGGAAAATATATTTTTTAAGCACAGAATCACAGTTTCTGCAGTTTTATCTTTCACTGGGATAACCTCTAGCCATTTTGAGTAATAATCAAATAAAACGAGGTATGATTTTCCACCATAATCCATAAAGTCACTGGCAACAACTTCAAAGGGATACTCTGGAAAGTCTCTCAAGATCATTGGTTCTTTGATATTACTTCTACTATATTTTTCACAGCTTCGGCATTTTCTCACGAAATTTTCAATGTCACTGTTAATTTGTGGCCAATATAAGATTTGTTTGGCTCGAAGTTGAGTCTTCACTATTCCAAAGTGATTTTCATGCAGCAACGTCATCATATCATTACGCAATGATTTCGGAACTATTACTCTGTCCTTGTAAAATAGCAAATTGTCCAACAGATGTATATCATGTCTCAGGGAGTAATATCTTTTTAAGGAATCTGAAACTTTACTTCCATCTGTAGGCCACCCTGTTAAACAGTATTGTGTCACTCTTTGTAACTCCAAATCCTTCAAAGTTTCTTGAATAAAACGTTGCTTTTTCTCATCTGACATATTGATTAAATGCACAATTTCTTTAATGAATTTATCATCCTCTAACTCAATATTGTCACTCTGATAGTTTCTGGATAACAGATCAGCAATATGCATTTCCTTTCCGGGCTTATATCTCACATCTATGTCATA